CACTACCCCCATAGTGCAGATCAGAAAATGGAAGCTCAGCAAGATGATTGAACTTGCCATTGAACTATTTCTAGCTTTGCTACTTTCTAGAGCTTGTGAACAAAACAAGATCTGAGCGTCCCTCCATTCTGCAGCTTCAGCCAGGCGGTTTGAATATTCAGATTTGTCTCTTTTTATGTGATGTTTTTTTCTGGAAGAGACCCAGCAGAACTGGCTGAGGCCATCCTCCAATCCAAACAGAAATGGTTTTGTCTTCAATATCTAGATAACCCGCTTCTTCTAAGAAGAGCAGTGATGCTGGATTAGGGCCCGTGTTCATGGCTTCATTTTTTAAAAGGAGTTGTTCATTTGAAAATCACAGTGGCAGAAAGATAGGGAGGGACAGAGAGAGAGACCTGCTTGTTCACTCTCCAATTACCTGCACAGCAGGTTCTGGGGCGGACCATAGCCAGGGGTTACGCACACCATCTTGGTCTTCCACGTGGTAGAGTCCCCAGTACTTGGGCTGTTGGCCGCTTCCTCCATAGGTACATGAGGATGAACTGGGTGGAAATGGAGCAGCTAGTACTCTAACTGCCATTCTGACTGGAACTGGAAGTGGAGGCTTAACCGGCAGGGCCACAATGCCAGCCCCTGGCAACCTCATTAAACTGTGCTTCACCTGCAAAGATCCTGTTTCCATATAGGACCACTTTCATAGGATTGGAGTTGAGCTTGAACAGATTTATTTTGAGGGCAAAGTTTCCTGTCTCAGATTGTCAAATGTGATGCTGGATTCTTCTCCCTTCCCCCATCTCATAATATTCAGAGAGGGGTCAGGACTGGCTCAGGCACATAGCAAGCTAACTCTCCACTTGTGATGTTGGCATCCCATATGGATATCAGTTTGTATCTGGTTATTTCACCTCTTATCCAGCTCCTGCTTATGGCCTGGGGAAGCGGTGAAGGACAGCCCAAAGTCTTTGTCCCCTGCACCTGCATGGGAAACTCAGAAGAAGCTGCTGGCTTCGGATTGGCTCAGTTCTGGTTGCTGAAGCCATTTGAGGAATGAGCCAGTGGATGAAAGACTTCCATTTCTCTTGACTCTGCCTTTCAAAGAAAATAAGGAAATCTTTTAAAGAGGAGAAAAACAACAGAGGGGCCTGGGTTTCTGGATGCCGCATTGGCAGCCAGTGAAGTTACAAGCAGGGTATTTGGGAGCCCAGAAGGACTCGGACTATGTGTCATGAGTGATTAGCGGTTGTCATGTGGCTTTCCTAACTTCATTCACGTGACGTTGATTCTTGTGTCATCACTGCAGATCTCAAATCCAGCCTGACTGTGGTCAAGCTGACTTCTTAGTAAAGGCTGCAGGGGCTCATGAAGTGTAGTGAAAGCCGTGAAGGCCTCTGGTTCTAAGATGAGCACTTCACTACAAATTCAGAGCCTCATTGTGTTTTACTAAAGACTGGAGAAATGCAAAGAGATGCAGTGGCAGAGACCTGTTGGCAGGCAGAGCAGTGCACAGGTCACAGTGTCACACCAGCATCCTCACAAGCTCTTTTTACCCAATGCATTTTAAGTTTGCCTGATGTGTAAAGACAAGGGTGGCAAATTTAAAATTCAAGCTCTTATGAATGATAGAAAGAAGGCAGCTATGAAAGTGCTATCAACCGCAGTGGTTTAAATGAAGGTTAATTTTCTGATAAAGGGGAAATGAAGGGAAAATAATGTCACTGCATGCAAGTGTGGCTCCGAATGGGACTGCTCATTTAGTTGTCTGGTTGTGCTGGCAGTCGGCCTTGTGCCTTATTCTACTTCTGCTTCTCAAAGTTGGAAGCTTCCCTAGGTTAAGCTTGGTAGACTGGAGACACTCAGGGTTAAGCAGATATGATTGTGTGGACCAGAAGAAAAACGATAACTTAAGAGGGTTCTAGAATAAATGTACTTGGTGTATCCAGAGCTGCTAAACACCATCCTGCCTAGAAATCAATCCCTGGACTCAGAGGGAAGGAGTTATGGTTCTTTGTTTTTCCCTCTGGGATACTGGATATCTTTCACTAAAGGCATTTGGCTTTGTGCTTATGGAAATACACTTTAAGCATGTCCACCAGGCATAGACAAAATAGAATTTCCAAAGTAGATTTGAAAAATCCAGAGAGTTCACTCCTGGGCTGGTTTTGGGGCAAGAGAAGCAAACGCCTTTGGGAATTGATCATATTTGATGACATGCTTTCTTTCGTAGGTTTGTCTTGACTATTTTTCAGGTTTGATTGAGATCTAACAGGGCTGTATCCAGAACAACACATCCTGCCTGTTTTGTGAGCCTCGTCTTCCCTGGTTTCAAGGTTTATGATAAAATCACCAAGCAAATTAGCACTTGGCAGATGCGTGAGCAGCTTTTTGTCGCTAGACCTGGAGCACGTGGGAGGAGAGAAGTACCCAGCTGAGAGCTGCCGAGGTCCACAGTGTAGGATGGAGGTCATCTGGCAAGGAGGGTCTATGAGAAACCCACGCTGAGGTCGAGACATGCAGCAGACAAAGAACCTGGGTTGACGTGGCTATACCACTTTACCTCTTGCTGAACTACCTTCCAAGAACACACCCGATGACCTAGAGACTTTCCAGAGAGCATGCTTAGGTCAAGTCTCTACCCTAATCCATGAGCATCAATTCAGTAACACTCAGCATAAGAGTTTGGGGCAAAAGCACCCCTCCACCCCAATACAGTCGCACTTGGGGTGCACCCAAGTTGGTATCCAGTGAAATTTTGCATAGAGTGAACAAATGATACATCATTTTCTAAAATATTTGATTGGCACAATGATTTCCTTTCCCTCCCTCATTCCTTGTCTTGAGGTTGATTTCTTCATCCTGCTGTAAAACCTTCCTATGTGATTTTTTTTAAGGCTTTTTTAGGGCAGAATGGGCTGCCCTTCCCAGCCCATTCTGAGGCTTCCCCAAAACACTTGGTTTTGCCCTTGCTGCCTCTTGGCTGTCTTCACCCTGAGCTGTAAGGTGTATGGGGCAACATCTGGGTCAGGTTCACAGTGGTATCTCTGGCAGGTGACATCTCACCTGACCTGCAGCAGCTGCTCAACCAACTCTGCTTGTTTTCAGAGGCAGTCATGGGACATATTAGGGAATATCTGAAGGAGACACCCTTGAGCTCTGAAGACAAAATGTAGTACTGCTGGAAACCCACGAGTCTGATCCTAAAACCCGTGCTGAGAGCAGTGCAGAAGTTGTCTGGGCAAAGGTGCATTTTGAATCTCAGGTTGGGATTATGGCAAAGACATGGTAGGCAGATACACAGCCAGTAATTTATTGGAGTCTGTCACCCCGACCTGAGCTGATGCAATGGATGAAGATGATGGAGGATAAGCATTGTGCTGACTCAGAAGAAGGAGGAGAGGAGCTCCATGCTGGGCATTTTGCACCATAGTCTGCCTTTTTCAGAAGTAGGTCTGGCTACCTGCATTACAGAGGGACAACTTCGGTTCGACAGTGAAGACAAGAGCTGGAAGTTGGAGTGTCTGTGACAAATTTCGTCACCACCCAGCAGGTGTGAAACCCAGAAAAAGGGCTGTTGGTGGGTGCCTCAGCTTTCTGAAAGGGTATAAAATAAGTGAAGCTGAAACAAGATGTCATGTGCATCTGATTGACACAGTGCTTGGTGTGTAGTGGAGGCTCCGTAAATGCTTATCAACACAGAGAAGCGGGTCCAAAGGATTTGCCCCCAATGTAGTCATTACTGCTCTGGGGAGGACTGACTCAGTTTTGGAGCCAACCTAGTCTGTCATACCAAGACAGGGGTTTTCCTAGTCTACCAGACAGCTTTTCTATAAACCCACTTCTGTACCTTGGCTTTTTTTTTCAAAAAATTATTTATTTTTATAGTACTTGAAAGGCAGAAAAGTCAGAGAGAGTAAGATCTTTCATCTCTTGGTTCACTCATTAAATGACTGCAACAACCAGGGTTGGGTCATACTGAAACCAGGAGCCCAGGGCCTAAACTGGGTCTCCCATGTGGGAGGCAAGGATTCAAGAACTTGATCCATCACGTGCTCCTTCCAATAGTGTTTATTCACAGGAAGCTAGAACTGAAGTAGAGGCTTGCCAAGCCACAACTTCACTGCTGTGCCAAATGCATACCCCAATGTAACATCTTTGGGTTGGCCACTGTCATTTTTAAAGATAGATTAATTTATTTTGAAAGTCAGAGTTATAAGAGGGAGAGAGAAAGACACAGAGAGAGAGAGAATATCTTCCAACCTGTTCTTACTCCCCAGATGGTCGTAATAGCCAGGGCTGGGCCAGGTCAAAGCCAGCAGGCAGGAGCTGTGTCTAGGTCCCCTATGTGAGTGGAAGGAGTCCAGATTCTTGAACCATCTTCTGCTACTTTTCCTAGACCATTAGCAAGGATCTGGGTCAGAGGCAGAGAAGGTAACACATGAACTGACACACATGTGGGCTTCCAGACCTGCAGGTGGTAGCTTTATCTACTATGACACAGTGCCAATCCTGGCACTACAACTTTGTGAAAAAACGTTGTATTTATTTGAAAGGAGAAAAGAGAGAGAGAGAGAGAGAGAGAGATTGATTTTCCATTTGCTTGCTTATTCTCTAAATGGCTTCAACAGCCACAGTTGGGCCAGGTTGAAGCTAGGAGCCTGGATCTCCATCCAGGTCTTCCATGTAGATGGTAGAGGCCCAAGCACTTGGGCCATCTTCCGTTGTTTCTGTAGATGACTGATCATGGGAGCTGCACTGGAAGTAGAACTGGCACCATATGGGATGCTAGCATCGCAGGTGGTGGCTAACCTGCTTTGCTACAATGTTAGCGTTGGGCACTGCCATTGGACATAGGTGTGAGTTGGAGCTTTTTGCCTCTATTGGTTCTCAGCCATGATTTTAGGGATCAAGTCCGTTTTCATAGCCAGACTGGAAGTGTTGTCAGAGTCACTCGACGCTGCGGATGTTTTCTTGGTAACCTAAGCTATAAGTTGTTGCTCCTACAGATTTAGTTTACAGAGGACATTCCTGGATCTGGCTGCAAAGCCCCATAAATTAAATGGGAATCAGTCACATTTATGATGGAGTCGTTCAGAAGCTGTGTTAGAAATGTATGACTCTGAGCTCTCATTCAGCTGTTCACCGTGTCTGCTTGTAGGTCTTTCTGTCCTGGATGGGACATTTATACTTGTGGGTGGGATATTAGCACTTTCATATTCCCCAGTGTAATCTGAGATGTCTGCCAGCAGGCACAGCGGGCTCACAAGACACGTGCTCGGCTTCCTGGATTATGGATTTTATGTAATGGACAAGAAAACAAACAAAATCTCCCAAACGCAAATTCCGATGTTGGACTGGCACCTCACCCTCCTGGGCGGAGAGTGCTGGAGGAAGGAGCTAAGCTGGGATGCTGGGTGTCGCTTCACGTTGCTCTCCGCCTTGTGCTTTGGATGCTGCTCTCACGAATGGCCACCCTCCCCAGCTTCTAGGCTCAATGAGCTCAGTGAGAAAAGGCTGACTCTCCTTCAGCACTGACCCACGAGAGACCAAGACCGGGATGGAGCAGCTGGCTTGCTCGTCCCTCGTTCTTTGGAAACTTAACCTTGAACTCCTGTGTGAGGGAAGTCAAACTATCAAAGAAAGTGTCAATAACTGGAAAAGTCTGCTTAATTTCAAAGCTATGAAACATGTAAGTGTTTATGCGCTTTTCCAGCGGTGCTGGGAATGGGTGTAAACCATGGCGGGGTGCTCGCTGGGTTCCCTGAGCCCTGCATCACACCCTCACTGCCGAGCGACTGGGGACTCAACTTGTGTGATGTGATCAGTTTAGAAGGAAAGGACAACATAACGAGGAGTCAGTAAAAGCAAAGAATGAGGTAGATTTTAATATGCTCAAATATTTCGTGCTCTTTCACAGTGCGAAACATTCCGTTCTACTGTGTTGTCAATAGGAAATGCTTCCCAATTTAATCCAAGTAACGCAATCATCTGGAGAAATTTTGAAAGAAAATTACACATTTGGGGATCCCTCTGATCTGAATTCCCTCGGATCTGAATCAGAATTCTTGCGGAAACACACAGGTCTGTGATTTTTTTGTGTGTTGTTGACTGAGAGGCAGAGAGAGAGCTCGAGAGAGATTTCGTGTTGGCCAGTTCGCTTATTCTCCAAGTGACCTCAAGAGCCAGAGCTGTATCAAGGTGAAGCCAGGAGCCAGGAACTCGATGGGGTCTCCCTGGGGAAAGATTCCAGTACTGCTGACTCCCAGGGCATGTGTTAGTAAGAAGCCAGGCCAGGAGGCAGAGCTGGGGACCCTATGGCAGTATTCCCATGTCATACCGTTTTTAAATTGTATGGATAACTGTGGGGGCTAACTTTTTATAAGGACAGATTTTAGAGTAAATTGTGCTTTGGAGAATTCCTACTCCCCTTCTGCAAATGGATAGTTGAGTCCCGGAAAGGTTTGCTACTTGATTTCAGGTTGTCTAGTTGGCCGAGGCCCGAGTTGGGGCTTGAACCCAGGCCTGAAGCTTCCCGCGTGAGGGATTTGCCACTGGGTCTGTGGTTCTCAATCTGTGACCGCCAGGGAGCTCAGGCCATGGTAGTGAACTCAAGCTCTGTGGCGTATTTTAAAATTTCAGTTTTCTGTCAGGTGGTTTTAACAGCGGGTTGTGCAGTGACAAATGGTTGCAAAGCTGGGTTTCCAGAGTTGTGAAGATAAAAAAAACCGTTGCAGGAAAACCAATGTGAAACAGGAAATGGAGGCAGCAGGGCTCATGCTGAGCCCCAGGAGAAGCTTGCCACGTGCTGCACACAGGCTGCTTAGGAAGAACTCGCCGTAGAGTGGTCCTTCCCGTTCCGTGCGGCTGCTGTCCTCCAATGACTTCTTTCTTAGGGCATACATGCAGGTAGTCTAAGTGTTTCTTAGGTGTAACCGGAAGATGCTGCTTTTGTCACAAGGGCCTAGAGGAAAGATCACTGAGTCACCAAGAGTGCCCTAAGAGCCATTGAGGGGCAGTCTTTTCCGTGGGCACATCCCATGTTTCCACTGGGCTTTCCGAATCTTCGCCTTCTTGGGTTTGTCCCCACATACTGGCATCTTCTCTTTTGGCAGTGTGTGCTTCAGCATTTATTTTAGCCTGCTTTATTCCAGAAGAATCTGTGCATGGAGGTTTCAGATCACAGCTTTTGCTACAGAAGCAGCTGGAGGTTTGTACTGAAATGAGCTGAGTAGGACAGGGGGACACGAACGGACACAGAGAAGTTCATCTACCCCAGATATCACCTCTGCTGCCTGTCCTTTCCTGATCATAGCTCCACTTCTTTGGGCTCTGCAGATGTTAGAGTCTTTTGGAAATCTCCATCGAGAGAGCCTACCTTGTGGTGCGGCAGGAAAACCTCCACCTGCAATGCCAGCACTGCAATTAGGTGCTGACTCCAGAACCGGCTGCTCTGCTTCAGACACAGCTCCCTGCGAATGCACCTGGGAACGTGGGGAAGGACGGTCCGAGGGCTTGGGTCCCTGCACCTACGTGGGAGACTTGGGAGAAATGCCGGGATGCCGGCTGTGCCTAGCCATTGTTGTCATTGGGGTGGAGATCAACAAATAAGAGCTGCTGCTCTCTGTCTCTGCTTTTCTTCTCTATCTGTAACTTCTTTAACTATGCCTTTCAAGTACATAAAAATAAAGCTTTCAAAAGCACAGCTCTGTTGGGTGGCAGGTATTTCATGGCAGCTGTAAGCTGTGGTTAACTGCAGTTGTCACTGAAAGCGTCAGATTGCAGGAAGAGGATGCCAGGAGCGGAACCGCGCAGGTGAAAGGTGCTGTCGCATGTGGCGTGGTTTTGCCTCTGACCACCTGATTTGGGATACATTTACAAGTGTCATGTCCTTGACACAGCCGTGAGCTGGTACTGAAGGCAGAAAGGTTCATCACTGTGAGTGGAGAGCTGAGTCTTCAGCCAGCTCCGATTTTGCCGACACAATCCATGATACCTTTGAGTCACCTTGTTTAATTGGAGAAACAAACAAACAGCTTTCAGCATCTGGAATGATTCCATCATCCCATCTTGGACCCTGTGCCATTTCCAGCTTTTCCTTCCCCACAGCTCCTGAAATTTGCACTGTTCTGGTTATCCCCCAATCAGATGTAACCTGGCACCTCAACTGAGAATCCCGAGCCCCAGCCTCTCCGGCCCCTCCCCGAGTTTCCACCCACTTACCTGTGGCCAGCACACAGCCCACGCAGCCCCTCCCTTCTCCTTCCCTTCCCTACTTCCCCTGGCAGCCCCATCCTGCCCCCATGGCAGGAGATGTATCTATTCCAGTTTTCTCCCCCTCCACTTCCCCTCCTGTTCCTACCCTGCTGGAATAAAGGATCTTCAAAGCGCCTTGCTGGGTCTGGGGTTTTGGTTTGTGGTAAAGGTCATGAGCAGAGGACCTGGCTGTGGGAATTAGCTGTGTGTAACAATGTAAGAACTGTAGGAACTTTAAGTGTGCATAAACCTAACACCTAGGAGGTAGATGCTCAGGGGTCTCTTTCTTATTTGTACCAGGTAGGAAGCAGAGAGGTGAGATGGCTCGATTCGGTGGAGGGAAGGAATAACCGGACTGTGCACTTCTGGCTCCTGTGGGTTTAAGAAAACGCCATCCTTAGTGTGAGTGGGAACACACAAGCAGAATGAAGACAGACGCTCGGTGCTGGGGAAGCTGGGGGAGCTGGGGAAGCTGGGGGAGCTGGGGGAGCTGGGGGCTGGTAGCTTTTGCTCCCGGTCGTTGCTGGCTGCTGCTGCTGCTGCCGTCACGCCCTGTGTCCTCACACAGGGCTCTGCTCAACTCCATTGCTACCGCCTCTGCTGCTCCTCCTTCGTCACCCACTAGACACCAAGTCTTCCTTCGGTTTCCTTGGCACAGGATGACCTTGTGCACCACAGTCAGCTTTGGGAGCCACTGCATTCCCCCAGTTATGCTGTGCCTACAAGCCCTTGTGTGCAGGACATCTGACCGCAGTGACTCCCCAAGGCCCCCTGCATAGTGCCCTCCAGGTGTGACATCAAGGCAGGGCGGCCCTCTTGTGCCTTCCAGGGGATGAATGCAGGCGGAAATGCTTTTACAACTGGAGCCAACTGGAGAGCAGGGAAAACAATGAAGCAGACCCCACAGAGGAAGTGTGCTCACAGAAGGGTGGGGGAGCTCCGTGTCTCCAATGGAATAAATGATCTGCAAGGGCTGTGGTTAATGTTCATTCCCAGCGAGGCCCGCACAGCTGGGACGCTCTGTACTTTTGATCTGGCCTTTCAAGCTTGGGTGATGCCAGGAAATTACATGCAATGGGCTGAAGGCTGCAGTATAGAAAATGAGAAGGGATTGTTGTGAAAACAATAGCGATCATTTCACCACCCTCACTTCCCCACACCTGCTTTTCCGCCTGGGGTCCATCTCAGCTCTGAGAAGAAACTCAGGGCCGGCTGGCTGTGAGCTCCACTGCCATGCAGCCGTGGTCTCGTGATTTGGTGACCAGAGGCCTTCTCCAGCTCCAGGGTGCCCGGCTGTGTCAGGGAACTAAGACACGTGTCACTGAGTCATCCCCACCAGGACAGTCATTTCAGCCGCCGGAAGCCAGGCACCTGCACTTCTCTGCCCTGAAATAGCTGATCTGGGGAAAGTGCGTTCAGTCAGCCTTGTCAGGGCTCGGTTGACTGACTTCACGCTCCGGGCCACACCCTACCCTTGAGTGCAGTGGGCGTAGAAATAACCCCAGAAATGATGCTGCAGCATTAGCTGTGCGTCTCATGACATGACTTGAGAGCTTATTTCAATAAAGGAGGAGGGAGGGAAAACCACCGAACACACCCAGCCACCCCACACCTGTCAGACGGGCCTGAAGAAGAGTTTCCTTCCTTCCTGCCATTCTTCCCCTGCTGGCCCTGACACAGGGCGGGCTCCCCACATGACTGACGCTGTTGTGGGCAGGTGCAAATGCAGAAAAGTGCAGAAAACAGCTGATTTGGCCAGAGGGATTAGAAATGTGAGCTGGCTTCCTGTTTCCGTATGACTGCGTCCTCGAGGGAGGACATGTTTTCAGGACAGAAGTTTGCCCTTTTGAGAGGAGTATTTGGCATTGAATGAGGTCACCTCGCCAGGTGACCACACACCCTAGCAAGACAGAGGTGGCTTGTTAACCCTGCAAGGAACTCTGCCACTCAGCTGCATTTGGTCTTCAAGGAAGCCCACGACCTGGGCGAAGCAGAGGCTCATCTTTCTCTCCCACTGTTGAGATGGGAAGACCAAGTCAGGATATTTACAAGGCAGCTCGTTGATGGTGGATCTGGAGCTGATGAGCGACTGTTAGTTACCGACCCAAAGGCTCAGCCACAGCATCAAGGTCTCGCATCACAGTGTGCTGTTGGGAGCAACAGAGAGGCAGGAACAAGAGGACTGCTTCCTGTGTCAGACACTGAACTTTGCCTGCAGCACACAGAAGCAGAGACATTAGATAAACATTGGAATTTGGGGACAAACTCTCAGCAGACGTAGCTTTAGGAAATTCATCCCAGTTGCATGTTTTTAACTATCTCTTATGGTTATCAGATTCTCTAGTTGAAAGCATTTTTGTTCATTCTCTTAACATCATCATTTAGCCATTTGAAATCGGTGAATATCTACCCCTAAGAGAGTCCACAGCCACTCCATGTCAAGTTTTCAGGAGAAAGTCTTTCCCTTATTTCATATGCTGGTCTAGATAGGCTGAAAAGAATTGCCATAAAGACCTTCCCTGGGTGCCCACGCTGTGTTAGGACACCCTCATCACAGAACAGTAGAAAATGATGACAGACGCCATTAAGAAAGTGCTGTGGCAATGCCATGAAGGTTTCACAGCCGGTGAGGCACGGCCTGGTGCTTGCCTCAGAACCAGCATGGGGACAATTTTGGTGTGAAAGTTACGGTTAGATGAATGGACTTTGTTATTCTCTTCTTGGGTATCAGTGAATATAAAAGCTAGTGCGATGGGCTTTATGGTGTCACTTGGTATCCGTCCTTGAATATCAGCTCTGCTACCACAACACGGATAGCCCTTACACAGAGGAAGCGCCTGCTGTTTCGTGTGGGTAGAGGCCAGTTGGGTGTTGTGGCTGCTTGCTAGTCTTCCACAGTCATACAGCAACAGCTTTACCTTCCTTCCTTTGGATCCGTGGTGTTCCTGTTGTTGAACTTGTGAGTGAGAAAACCTTGAAGGATGCAGGAAGTACTTTTTCACAGGCGTGCATCTTAGCTTTTCACATTCCACCAGCCACAACTCATTCCATTGCAGAGTCTGGGAGTGGTTTGTAGCTTGAGGCCAAAAAGAAAGGGGGTAGATTTGATGAGCAACTATTCAATTCCATTTACAGCTGCGAAAATGAGGGGGGAGGTTTCCTTGTAGACTTAAATTCAGCTACTGCAACATTCTAAGATTCCTATCCTTACACTCTGAAGACTGTATATAGGACATCCTAAGGGTGAAGTACATTCCTAGTTATGTGAAAAATGTCCAGTACCTGAAGGCAAAGTTTATTAAGAACACTTCCATCAAGATAGATAGCTGAGTCCAGCCACATCAAGGACCAATACGGTATTCATAAAAAATCGAACAGCCATGACAGTAACAGCAACTACACTATCCAGCTGCTCCCAAGTAGAAAATTAAATCAACTATGTGAACAATTCTCATCAGACCCTAGGTAGGAGACTGCAGGTCATGATGCCGAGTGAGATGAACCAACAGACCTGAGTCTCCACTGTCGGGCACATTCTCATCCGGTGTCAGCACAGAAAGGTTTTCGCTGGGTTGAGAAGACGGCTGTTGGCATTGAGGCAGGGAGGAATGCTGGACCTGGGGGGCAGAGTACCACCAGAACCTCAGCTGACCAGGGGTGCTGGAGCCCTGTGCTGGCATCTCTTGGTTCACTTGCTGCTTACTAAACTGGGCATGTGGAGTATGGAGTTCCACAGTGCCCAGCGAGAAAGACTGAGAAATGGAAGGTGACGGAGTTTCGTATATTTGGATGGGGGTGTTCAGATTCTAGCCAGCAACTTGACACCCCCTCTTGAGTACCAGGCCTCCAGACAGTGAGACAGGCTGTGCCCTCCTGGCTGGACTCAGGCCTGGAAGAAGCACACCTGAGAAGCAGTGTGCCCACAGGGAGTGAGGCACTGTATCATTCACCATTCCTGTTGTTACTGCACTAAGCCGCTCCCCACGCTTGTGACTGCATCGTTCTGTGTCAGGAGAGATGAGTCAGAACCTCTGTCACTATGGACTTGCCTTTTGTGCTTTGGGTTCACCAATTAAAAAAAAATAATACATTTTACGGTTGTATTACTTGGTGTCTTCAAATATACGGTTGTTACATCTTCCCATCAGAGTGACAGTATTTTCATAATAAAATGTGCCTATTTGCCTGTAAACACATATTTCTGCGGCCAGAACAACTTTCCTTTTATTACTGTCTGCATTGTACATGCATCCTCCACTTGGCTACTTTCAAATCTTCTATTTCTTGGGTTGTTTGTGTCTTTCGTACATCTTAAAGTTGGGTTTTCCCTTTTGTTACTTCAGTCTGATGCTTTTTATTTATGTGACATGTCTGTATTTAATGCAATTGTGAATTATTTGGCTGAAAATCCATCATTAATGCTTTGCCAAAACAAAAACAATTTTTGGTTTATTAAAACATTTTTTTTTTTACCTTCACTACTATAAGAAAATAGTCTCAAGAGAAGGGAGTGACATTCTTAGGCCAATTCATGGAATAAAGTCTGCATTTATTCACCACCCTCTTCCTCCTACTGACTGACAGGGAGCGATCTTGTCCCGTGGACTTGAGCCCCTTTGCTGTTCACCCCTGCTTTGTGACCCTGCCACTCCAGGAGACCCTCCTTCCTGCTGCTCTGGGTGTCGGGGTACCTGGTCTTCTGCCCCCACCCTCGCCACTCCCATTCTGGTGCATCTGTTTGCCGTCTCTTGTTGATGAATCTCTGTCTGATGGAATCATGAGCTGTTTGTCTGGTTCGCTCTTTCCAGCCTTCGTGGTGGCTTCTGGGTGAACTCCAGGGGCATGAGCCTAGTTTGAGGGACATCTGATAGCTATGAATGCCAGCGAAGGCTTCAGATGGTCCAGGAGCATCCTGGATGTTTCCTTTCAAAGGGCTTTGAAGGAATTTGGGCTCTTCTAGTGGCCACACAGCTCTCTTCTGTTGAGTAGATTCGTAAGCGGGGCCTGGAACCAAATCAGTCCACTTTTGTAGTGACAGACCATTAACTTGGGTAAGAGATTTCCATGACCTGTTCTCATCATTTATTAATCTGGGGGTGCCTGGACGGTTTTAAATACAAAATCGCATGTGAAAATCATTGTGTCTGCTATTGAGTCATTGACTAATCTAACACTCACATGTTTGAATGCGGGGTCCTGCCTAATTGCACCTGCCAGATCCTGATCACACCTATAATCAGGCAGCTGTGGGGCTGTTTTTGTGTTTTCATTCAATTGCTTGGGCTAAAATGGAGAGCACCCTTTACATATCAGGTCCATTATTTCATTGCCAGCCTTTGAAAAGGAAAGATGATCTCCGGAAACTGTGAGACGGCGTGCGGTTCCATTTCCTGAGCATCAGTTCATGTCAGTAATCGCCTGCGGACATTCCCACACTTCTCCATTCTGGTAAGAATTCAAAGCATATTAAAGTTTTTTAGTTACTGAACAGTTTGTCTTTTGCTATTACTTTGTTGAAACGCATCCAGAGTAGTTCTAATTCCTAAAAAGTTTCTGTAAGTTTTTTTGTACTTGCTGGAAAAACTTCTGAACAGGGCTCTGTTGTTTGTGTGCAGGAACATGACATCCACTCAGAGTTGTCTGCTTGCATAACTGACTTAATATTAGAGTATATTTTTGATACACTCTGAACTCCAAGTTATAAACAGTCGGTTCATACGTCATGTAAACCTTTCCTAGCTACCAGAGTGCTCTTCCGGTTCTTCAGAACTTCATGCTGAGATTTTGCCTGTATTATTGACTTTGTCATGTTTTCATTTTGGTCATATCGGCGGGTGCACCTTTGTGCCACTCAGCTTCCCTTGCAAGTGGGATTGCTTCTCACTGTGTGCAGTGTGGTCAGCTGTGGCCTCCAGCCCTCAGCCATCCTGCTGTGTGCCTCGGCTTCCCAGGCAGGACACTGTGCTGCTAGGGCAGCCCCAGTGGATGCATGGTGCTGTCCACTGGCTTGTACGTCTCTGATCAATACTAACCTTCTATGAAAGACCGTTATTCTGGTCTGAGTGTTGGTCCTCTCAGTCCTGGATGACGTAGATTAATGGCACTGAGAGGGAGGAGACTTAACCCAGTTGTGTTTCGAGGTGACGCCTTTGCAGAGTGACAAGATTGGATGCGCTCATGATTCTGGACTGTTGGTGATTGAATCTGGTGGCTGGAGGCTTGAAAAGGGGAGAGGGAGAGGGAGTGGGGAGAGATAGATAGAGACAGAGAGAGAGAGAGATCAGACAGACAGTCGGATATGTATGCTTGGTTTGTCATCCTCTGCTGCTTTGTGACTCTGCCAGCAGGAACATCTACCAGTCCCAGAAGCTGAACCCATGGGAATGCCTGATCTTGGAGGACGAGTCTCTGGGACATAGAACTCTTCTCATTATAATGCAGCTTACTTCGGCTGGCTTGCTAGAGGAAGCATGGAGCTCTGGGTCTCCACTCTTCCTGCAGTGCTGTGTCCTTTGTCACTCGCTGTTGACCATCTCTCTCACGTACTCTGTTCCTGAGACAGGTTCCTCTCCAAAAACTCTGTTCCAGGATCTGCTTCTTGGAACGTGCAGTCATACACCACCACGCAGAAAAGAGGAATGCGGAATAACCTAGAGGGAGTTGAATTCATTGAATTCCTTTACCCCGAGCTTCTCTCAGAAGACAATTCACAAGGAAATCTGTTCCGTATGATATTGTAGCAGAATTGTTTCTTTTCTATGCCTCCCCCCAATACCCACATCCAGTGATGAAGTGTGGAAAATGATTTAGCATGTATTAATGTGTTTTGTAAAAGAGCTGAGATTCCCCCAAAATTGGAATTTTGTCGAACTCATTATTATTTAGAGATGAACTTTCCAATACTTTTTAAGTAACCTGGGATTCAGCTCTAAACAATTGGGTGGAACTTTTCCTTTATTGTTTTCTTATGCAAGAAGCAAAGAGACATAAAGAGCAAGACAGACAGGCAGAGCTCCCATTGCTGGTTCACTGCCCAGATGCCCATGGTGGCTGGCTCTGGGCTGGTGCTGGAGATGGACTGGAGCCAGGAGCTGGTAATGCAGTGTGGAGATAACCTCCAGCTTGTGCCATGGTGGGCAGGTCTCCCTCGTAGGGAGCAGAGACCCAACTCTGAGCATCATGGGTGCTTCCTCCTGTCTGCACTGGGGGAAGCTGGAGTCAAGTGCCAGGGCTGGGAATTGAACCTACATACTCTGCTGTAGAGTGTGGTTAAAAGCTCACTGAGTAAGACTTCTTATGTTTGCATTATTGTGGCGTCAGAGCAATATGCTTTTTGTTTCATAAACCTCACTATTTATTAAAATTCTTTTGGATGCCTTTTCTAGTAACTTTTATTATAGTGCTGGATAGTTTTATCTGAGAAAAAAACCTGACTTTCTGTCTGTTAAAGTTGATATCACAAACTTGCCTATTTATACCTTAGTTATTAGGCTTGGTATTTCCAAACTGCTAACAAATGTTAGTATTTGGGAGAAATCAAGATGGTGGAATAGGGTAAGGACACGTTTAAATGGATGGAAAAACATTTAATCAGGATGAAGCAGAGAGGACATGTTCCACGAAATAGGAAAGGACAGAACAACAGCAGAGGGGTACCTGGAGACTGACAGACACAGGAGAGCAGCAGATACAATGGTGTGGTGTTGCAGCAGCATTCAGCTAATGGCGATCTGAACTCCACCAGCAGCCGGAACTCCACCAGCAACCAGGTGGGAAGGAACTTTCACTGGGAGCTTGGGAGGTGAACCCAAAGAACTGTCCGTCCTGCTGGTCTGTTTGATTTAATCAGGAGCACAGACAGAGCAGCAGATCACAGACAGGCAGTGCAAGAGCAGGGTGGATTTCACAGCCCAGTCAGCCCCCTAGAGCCAAACTGGACACCATTTTGTGTAAGGCGTCAAAGGCAAGGGAAAGGACTGAGCACACGCTGAGCTGGGAGTGAACTCATTTCTGACTCAGTGAACTTCAGCCAGGTGGCATTCTACAGGTTCCACCCGGGGCAGGTCTGGGTAGCCCTCGGATCTGACGGCCAGTAGATCAAGAACTCTAGAAGTGGTATGACAGGTACTGTTTTATCCATCTAGAGAAGCTGTGGAATGGAGTCTAGCATAGTGAGCAGTGAAGACACATTGCGGTATGCATCTCTACCTGAATAAAAGGACTCCCAATTAAGCTGTTAAATACATCGTGATAACAGTCTGCACCGTCTATACCTACAGTGGTATAACACACTTCAATAACAGAACGATGGACGTTGGACTGTTGTTGGAGGACTACTCTCCTGTAACAATATGAGAGAAGCGCGTGGGGAGGAGGGAAGTGGGAAGGTGAAGGAGAAATTCCTGAGGCTGCACAACTGTAGCAGGAAAGCTGAAAATTATGAAAAGCACCCCAAAGCACCATGTTTTTTATGTACATGTCTAGATCTTGGTTTTGTAGAAAATATTACGCAGAAATAATTTCCTGTTTTGTGCCGAATTGATGAAATCATGTCATCTAAAACCACCTTCAATTTGGACATCAGAGTGCATGTTGCTCCTCCCTTTTTTTTTTAATAAAAGATTTATTTATTTTTATTGAAAGGCGGATATACAGAGAGGAGAGACAGAGAGGAAGATCTTCCGTCTGATGATTCACTCCCCACGTGGCCGCAACAGCTGGAGCTGAGCTGATCCAAAGCCAGGAGCCAGAAGCTTCTTCCAGGTCTCCCACATGCGTGGCTTTAAGGTCCTAAGGCTTTGACTGCTTTCCCAGGCCACAAGCAGGGAGCTGCAGGGAAGCAGGGCTGTCAGGATTGGAACCAGTGCCTATGTGGGATCCTGGTGCAAGGTGAGGACTTCAGTCACTAGGCTGTCGCACCAGGCCCTCTCCTCTTCTTCCTCTTCTTCTTTTTTTAAAATAATGAATATATTTTGTGTACTTGCCTTGATTTGGACTTTGCTTTGAAGTCAGCGAGCAATTTGTTAATACCTGTGCAGCAATTTCTAAGTTCATGGGGAAGTGTTTGTGATGTTGGTTTTTTCTTTTCCATTTATTCTGTTAAGGCTCTCACAGGCGTGGATGACTGACCTACAGTAAGGCGACCAATGGGGAGACTTTACCCCCTAGACAGACTTCTCGCCCATTTCCTGGCTCCAGCTGCCTGCTAGTGAAGAGCGTGGTTCTGGCACAAGTAATTGGTGTCCTGCCACCAACGCGGCCAGCTAGGCTGAGTCCTTGGCGTCTGGCTTTGGATCTGACCTGCCACTGAATGTGCTTGAAGTGTGAACCGACAGGTGAGAGTTCTGTCTGTCTGTCCGCCTCTCAAATAGTTGCAAATTTAAAAACTGTATTGTTGCAAATAATTACAGCCTATAGGATCTATTTGCATAGTGGGAGACACTGCAGAATGTTCTGAATTACTTGAAGGATGAAGCACTGGGTTGTCCCAGCAGGGTTTTAGCATCGTTGTAGAGAGCTACGTGTCGGTCGTGCAAGGGACTCGTGTTAACTTCCCAGATCTGATGGTTTTTGGAACACCACTCACGCACTCTCACGCATAAGTGTATTCTGTGCGTTAACATATTCATGAGGATTCTATCTTCAGTAGTGATTCAACATGAGCTTCAGTCAGGGCTGGAACACACTTGCACGTAGTCAGAGCTGGAAGGCAGGCCAGCAGGTGAGCGCCAGCCTCTTGCTGCGAGGCTCGTGTCTCATTGTGGTTTCCCAAATCTCTGACCTTAACTTGAACCCTGTCCTTGTCGTTGCCTCAAAGCAGTGGCTTCTGCTGAACCGATACTGTCTCACTACTGGCACCACATTTTTTCAGGAACATTGTAGCTGTGATTTAAGCTTTCCTGTTTTCATAACTTTTTTTGGTAGGATTTAATGTTCAGGAACACATAAATTTCCTGAGAAAATCAAGGAAGAAATTCCCAGATAGAAACTTAGGTTGGCATCTTTGGCTGAGACCAGGACGTTGTCAGAACCTCCGCCAGGAGGAGACAGTCCTGCCACTGAGCTCGGTGGCCCTGGGGACTGCTGCTGCAGAAACTGGAGGGGCTTGGGGCAGTCAGGACACCACGTGGGAGGTGCACATCCTACGCTGGGATGCCTTTGTTGGTGTCCCCGCTCCGCCCTTCTGCAGCCACCTGCTAAGGACCATCCCAGGAGAGAGCAGATGGCTCAAGCATGGCAGGCCCTGCCACCCACATGGGAGACCCACATGGAACCCTGGGCTCCTGGCTTTGGCCTGTCCTGGCTGTGGTTCCCTAATAGACGGACCTTCCAGAGCAGGTGGACAAGCAGATGGAAATCCTCTGTTAGTCCTTTTGCTTTCTAAGTAGATGTAAAAATCATAATCTATTGATTAGTGAGATGTTATCTCTGTCCCCCAGAGACTCTCAGCTGAACTTGTAGCAATCATGATGAAAAGTAGCTAAGTATGAAATTCCTGTTTTTTTTTTTTGTGGTCAGCCAGGCTAATTAAAAGCAATCAAACAGGCTGGGCTTGGAGCAAGGCAGTGACTCCAGCGACACCCAGGAGAACTCCAGACTGGCTGAAGGTCAGGTTGGAGACCCTGTGGAAAGGCTGCAGGCAAGGGAGGCAACATGAGAGTGGCAGGTTCCAGCCCCAGGCCCCTCTCGCATCAGGTCCAAGTTATCCCAAGTCCCTGCCGTGTCCTCCAGCACAAGAGAGAAAAGGAAGACGCAGAGCAGGACATCTTCTAAGACACCAGGCAGAAACGAGGCATTAGCCATGGTCCGCCTTGCTTGGCCTCAGGCCACACACACTAGGCCTGGCACGAGGTGCCTTCCAGGAGGTGTGAGCCGGTGTCTGTGGGCTTCCTGCATGCAGGCTGATGCAGTGGGGCGAGGTGGGGTGAAAGCTGCCCTTCTCGGCATCTCCACAGGCTCTGGCAACAGAGTTAGTGGTAACGTCATGGCCAAATGCTCAGCTGCCAGGAAGATGCCGCAGCCGTGTTCTGGTTGCCTGAGTGCAGGTGCGTGCATGACTTCTGAGCTTCTGAGAGTGGGCTTCTTGCACCTGGGGGGTTTGGTCCCTGGGGCCGGGGTGAACTGAGCTCTGACACGGGAGTATGCTGAGTGCTTCAGGCCTTGGTGTGTCTCCTCACCGTCTTGAAGCTCAATGTCGCCAGAACTTACTGAGAGCAAAATGTGCTTCTTTTGCACAGTTAAATAATACCCTGTGTCCTTGAGTGTGCATAAAATAAACATGGATGTGTCAGACAAGGCTGATATTTGCTTTACAGTGGCTTGTTGGCCCATTAATATGAATGTGTTTGAGTCAACACTATAATTATGAGTCATGTGCAGGGGTTGGTAGAATCTACATTAGGCAGTTGATTAAATTACCCCAGATAGAGCAAACTAATTTGCGGTAGATTGCACGGCGGTGATGGAGTGTTGGAGGCGATGATGTGTTTGCGAACAGGTGAAGGTACTGATGATTTACTGCTTCCTCCAGTGTGCTGAACACAGGTTCTGGCAAGAGGGAAATGATGGAATTTGTCTCAGGTCTAAACTGTGATTCAGGTTTTACAC